TATTGGTTTGCCAAGGTGAATGCAGTGAATTGGTGCCAGAAATATTGGACTGGAAGATGAAAGTTTGAGAGGTTCCACAGAATCGAAAGGCCAGCTGAAGCCTGAGGGATGAAGAAATGAGGCACTGCAGTTGTGACAAACCCTGCAACTATTTGTTGTTTCTGAAATGAGTGCTGGGCTGTGTGAGTAAGAGCAGAAATACAGAATTGGACATCAGGCATCTCCTCAGCCTGCAGCCACTATCTGCCTGAAGCAGTGCTGTGTCATCACGCTGTGATAGTTCGTGACTGCAAAATTAGTGGGTCTGCAAAGAGTTTAAAGTATAAGCAGAGCCCTAGTCCCAGAATAACTCTCAGGATGTCAAAACCATCAAGGTACCTGAGATCTGTGAGATCCTCTCCCTCCCAACCACCACAATTGACTCTTCCTTCCTATTTCAGTCCCCAGTGTTTTCTGATTAAAATCAAAATGCTGACTGTGTAGCACTTCCTAGTTCTCCAACATGGGTGCAAATATTTATTTTTTTTTTGTGGTTTTGTGGGTTTTTTTGGTTTTTTGGTCTCAGGTGAGACAAGAGCTGGATTCATGCAATCTGTCTTGGACTCTTGTATGGATAGGAAAGATGGGTACCTCCTAGGGTACCGATGGGTCACATCCCACACGGAGACAATCAGAGAAGGGAGGCCCAAGACATACCATTCAGGGTTGATTTTCAGGCATGGATATAACACATTCTTTCAACACACACTGGATTAAACCAGCCCATTGTATTACCACATATAAACATTTTTTACTCTCACTTTATAATAAATGTAGGGGTGGTTGTAATATTGACTTGAAATAAGGAATTACCATCTTTAAAAGACTGAGGAAGACTGACCTAGAACACAAAGAGGTTATTAATGCTTTTGAAAATATACCACCTGAGCTTGAGTCAATAGGTAGTGAGGCAATTAATAAAGAGCAAGACTAACAATATATTTGTATTCTCTTTGTGCACAAAATGTAACTGAATAGACATAAAATCCATCCTGCTATTGTCTTTCTCTTCTTGTGGCTGTGATGGAAAGGAGATGAATGTATTTAAGAGTAGTTTCCTATACACTGTAGTCTTGTACAGTATCCCATTAACATTACAGAATAGGACTGGTACTGCAATGAATTATTAAGACAAGAAGCTCTATACAAACTTCTCTATCACTCAGTAGGATATGTGACTTGACTGTCCTACAAATTCACCAACTTTCCACAGAAATAAAATGCAAATTATGGCCACTCCAGTAAATTCTCTCTCTAGGAAAGCTGGAATCCTAAAGGTTTTTAAAAAACCGATTTCAAGGAAATAAAACCACTTTTCATTAAGACCTTCTACGCATTTAGATTTAAATGCTTAGTTAAATGCTTATAATGTTAATTGCAGTAAAACTTTCACCTTTCTCTATAAGATTGTAGGGGCACGTGCTGACAGCTGGTTTTAGAGTGAATTGCTGCTGGAAAGGCAGGTTGCCTTTTTCTCACATTCCCAGCTTCATGTTTCCCTCCTCTCTTCATAATGGAGTGTATTTCTGTGCAATCAGTTGAGTTCAGTTAGCAAATTATTTATTTTTCCACGTAGACCCTGGTATGAGTGACAATTGATTTTACATCTGAGTAGATGGGTGCAAACCAAATCAAGTTTGTAAAATCAACTTGTATTCCAAGGTAGGTTATTAGCTCAGGCACATTTAGTTACCCTCTTCCAAGCCAGCACTGTATTCCAGCACAGATCCGTATATGTTTGTACATGCCTTGGAGTGGTCCACTCCCAAGCAAGTTTTAAAGTTGTTTTAGAGTACCAAACATTAACTCTAGGGGTTTTATGCCAAAATAAACACCAAATCAAACAGAAGTAGACCTTCCTGATAGCCATTCTGTACAGTACTGTTCAAACAGCTGGAACACCTACTGCTGTGAGTCCCAGTACTGAAAGCCTGGGTGGAAAAACATAAATGAATTGCAGTATGTTTCACAAGGTTACAAGTGATGAAAGTTGCCATAGTTGCTCAATGTTTTCATGTTTAGAGGATCTTAGTGCTTAATTCCTTCTTTACTGAAAAGGCAGCTGTTGATGGAAAAATCTTGGGATGCATGAACAAAGTCATTCTGAGCTGTTCTGAATGGGTTTGTTGAATTTTGTCTGATGCATTGAGCAGTCATTTGTCTATATTTAAAGTTTATAATTTCAAAAATGTTGTCAAACGCTGTATGCATGCAAGTATGCACCATTTTTTTTTTTTTTGGCTGTGAAGCAACACGAATTGTTGGGGACAAAATTGAGCACTGAGAGAAATCATGTCCCTGAGCAAAAAAATTTCCAAGCTACAAGTGCTACAAGTGGCTCAACCACAGATTATATGAGGACCTGCTTGATGAACTGTGAATTTTCTGCATATAAACACACACCTAATCTTCCATCAACCGCTTTTCTCTGTAATTCCCACTCTCCATAAACCTCATTTTGCATGCTTAAAGGTGATGACAAAGAAAAGAAAATATTTTAGAATTTCTGTGAGGCAGGATTACTGAGTGGGTTAAACTCAGTCCCTTTGAATGGGAATTTATTGATTCTCACTATTACATAAAGAAAAGAATGATGGACAATTCACTTACTCACTTTGTCTAACTCTCTTCTCTGGTGTGGTGAACTGAAAAGAACTGGAGGTAATGGTTGTGATATTGTGAAAGGAATATATGAGACCTCTGAAAACTGCATTATTTACCATACCATCAATTCTTAGTTTCATCTTACATTCTTACTTTTATTGTTGGCAGCTTTAGGTGCCGTTTTAAAATTTGCTATTTTAAATTCATAATTTGAATAAATTCACAAAGGGAAATTATGGACTCACTTTACAAGGTCAAAAGCAATTTTTTTTTTCACTGACAACTCAGCCTGACCATATTGGACATTTAAAATTCAATTTGTGTTATTTTTGCCAAATCTAGTACATAAGCATTAGCAATAATGATTTGGAAGCCACATTTAGCTGGTTGAGCTGTTATTCCTAATGTGACCATAACTATAGCATCTAAGTGCAGTACTGATAGCCTTGTTAAAGATTCATGCAGTGCCTGGGACACAGCTCTATTCTATAGCTACATCAGTGCTGCTGGACTGACAAATATAGCATTGTTTTTCTCACTGTAGTGTGACTCACAAAAACCTCTCACCATAACAAGATAATACTTGTATTAAATAAGTTTTCTGAGCACAGCAGCATGGGACAGTAATTTGGGAAATAAAAATAACAATAAATGAAAAATTAGCATTTAAAAAACTATCTGTAAATCTCATTCTCATTTAGATAATTTTGGACTTAGCAGCAAATTGATATCTAATATCAAACTGCTTTTCAAACAGTGACACAGATTTCAATTTATGCCATCATGTCAGTCCAAACTGTAATAATTCAAGAATTTTGCAATTACTATTCGCTACATGAATTAATTTGTTTCTAATTTTATACAAGTCAACATCTTAAATCTTGGAAAAGCTATTGATATACACAGGTGGGAGAGCAGCACATCTGTGGATCCTTCTGTGCAGACACTGCAGGTGCAAATTCTGTGCTACGTCATGACCCACTGTGCCCTCTTGACCATGACGTGACTTCAGCACACATGAGACATTGCAGCTACTATTTCTAAAAGCAGATCCCGTGTCCATCAAAGATATCTGGCCCATATTCTGTTTCAGTTGAGCACCCCAAATCACAAGGCACATTCAAAAATGTGCCAAATGTTATGCCTCTTTCCTGACATTTCACTTGTGAGCTGCCCTATCAGTTCTTCCCACTGGGCAGCTTAAAGTCATGTCTTGGCAGTTTGCTGGAAGACCTTGGGCTGTAGCAGATCTAAGCTGCCACCGAAGTTTAAGAAACTAAAGAAATACTTCTAACCAAGTAGATTTTGTCTTCCTATTCTGCTGGTTTTTTCTCTGTTGCCTCCTGTGCAACAGTAAGGAAAGACATGAGGAGTACAAATGACATTCAGTCCAAAATACATGTCCTGTATGTCCAGAACTCTTTAATCCTGAGAGGCAGATTCTGCTGCATTCAGAGTTCTTCTGTCTTCTGAGATGTTTCAAGCTCTCGTTGCTAGTAATGCACATGAAAAACAAAGGAAATACACTGTGAGATATGCTAGGGTATACACTTGAGGATGTGAGGCTGGGCTTTGGAGAGAGAAGTCACAATAATAAAGGCATCAAACAGCACACCAATCTTCCTCATGTCCCCAGCTGCACCTGTGGAAGGCAGAGGCTGAGGCTGTAGTGCTGTCCTCCCCATGCCATGCCATGCCATGCCATGCCATGCCATGCCATGCCATGCCATGCCATGCCATGCCATGCCATGCCACCAGCTGTGTCTCCCACCACACCACACCTATGCTACTCCAGCTGTGTGCAGGATCCAGTCTGAACCACCACCACCACAGCCACCCCTGGCTGATCTTCATGCCTCCTTCTGGCCCTTCAGCAGTGACCTCTTCTGCTGCTGCCTTTCCCCTGGAGCTGGTGCCAGGGGCTGCGTGTGGTGTGCGCCAGCAGGCAGCAGCGGCGCTGCCAAGAACTCACAGAGCACACTCCCACATGGCCAAAGAAGTGCTGTAAGGTCATGGATGTGGGAAAAGGGCATCATGGGCTGTGCAGAGGCGGATCAGGCACGTAGTCTGACTCTATTCAGTGCAGCAACAGCGCACGGGTCTTAATCGTTATAACTTAATTTTTCATTTTTATTCTTTGAGAAATAAGACTCAAATGAAACTAACATTAGACAACTAACATAAGACTCAAATGAAACTAACATTATATTTGGGGTTGGTTCAGAATGGTTTATCTCACACAGTGCAGTCCCATTTGGATTGGAAAAAATGTAGCCTCATAGCATTTAAGCTGGTAATAAACTACAATCTTAAAGTATTTTTCCCCATTAAAAATAAAATCTATACTTTCTTAAACAAATAAAAACGTCTTACAACTTTACATCCTAATTATAGTTTTAAAGTGCCAAATTCTTTGAAAAATCTTTACAAGCCAGCTAAAGGGAGAGTGGAAAACAGTTTTATCATAATTATACAATTGTAAAGTTTTACAATAAAGAAGTTGTTAAGAATTTCCGTTTGTCTGAAGTGCCTTGTACATTTCTTTACAGTGTTTTAATTGCACAATCAAAAGAAAACACCTGTTTGAAATTAGCATACATCCAAATAAGGAACAAAGACATGCATTTTTGACAATGAGAATAATTAACCACTGGAACAGATTATCAAAGGATACAAAGCATTCTCATTCACTCTCCTTAAATCAAGAGTAGGTCTGTTTTTAAATAGACACTGTCTCTTATTCTGGAATCGCTTATTTGAAGTTCCATGATCCGCTATGCAAGAGATCATAATAATGATGATAATTTTTTGTTAGAGATGTCAGAGAATATTTTGGCTTCTGGGACAGTCACGCAGCACATCCCTGGACTCTGGCTCCTGTCAGCTGCCATCATCCTGCAATCCCTCTTTCCTGAAAATGAAACAGTCAGCAAGTTTTAGAGATATTTATCCCTATTTGTTCTGGAGCTTCCACACTGCCCCAGTACAACCTTCCACCTTCACTTGTTAGAATGAAAAGTATACAGTAGTTGCTCTGAAAGTATTTTGCAAAAGGGGAAAAAAAAAAATCATCTATTAAATTAAAATCAGAGCCCAATTCAGAAATGCTTTAAGCATCTTTCATTGATTTCACTATCCTTACCTTTAAAAACACATCTTTTACTTCCTAGACTTGAATATTTTGACCTTGGTGTGCCAAGACATGCTCAGGCCCTGAATTAAATGTGGTCCTAAACATGAACAGCTTACATATATGCTACAAAGCAGTGAACCAAATTCCACTCCAATCTACCACTTTTAAACCCAGATATTTCTTATCCCTTCTGGTCTGGCTGGGGGTGCAGACTACACCTGCTTGTCACTTAAATAACTAGGGGATGTGCCTGCACTCCATAAAGGACAGAGCCTCAGGGTTTGCCACTCAAATCCAGCCTACCTTTGTCGTATCCTCTAGGCTCTGCAGGAGGATAGATCCTCAACAGGACAGCTATTGCTGCCCTGAGTAGTACTTATAAGCCAGGTAGGCCCTTCTGCTAGGAAATCCACCCAGGTACAGTAGGATTATGCTGTGATGGTTCTTTTCTGCTGTTTCTCTGTTCTGTCTTTTGCTTTCCTCTCAATTCTTTGATCTGCTCCTTGTAAACAGAGTGGATCTTGTGAGCGAAGCAGTGATTCACAGCCATCTTGACCACAGTGACCACAAAGAAATTGAGTTTAAAAACTGCTGATGGGAGGAAAAGAAGCAAAAATTCAGCTTCTGGGCATGAGGAGGGCAGATTTCACGTTGTTCTGGGAATTAGTAAGTATGTTCCCCTGGAAAAAATGCTTTTGCAGGTGTTGAAGTCCATTCGTGCTGGTCACTTTTTAAATATCACTTATTTAGGGCACAGAAACAGGCAACTCCTAAATGCTGGAAGTCATGCAGGTGAGGCAGAAGGTCAGCTCAGCTGAGCTGGATTCTTCTCTTGGAAATAAGGCAAGTTAGGAGGGTGTATGCCTAGTGGAAGAAAGGTCAGGTAACATGGGACAAATACACAGATACTGTTTGCCACTGCAGGGACAAAATTCATATAGCCAAAACCTCAACTGGAGTTGAAGCTGCCAGAACTGTTGGGGACAGTAAAACCAAATATTTTTTTAAAAAAAATTATTAATGGCAATTGGCCAGGTGTAAAATTAACACTGACAATTACAGGAAGAGGATGGTCACCTCACAAACAGGGACATGGACAAGGCAGAGGTGTTTAACATGTTCTTTGCCTCAGTCCTCAACATGGATGATGAGCCAAGAGGATCTCAGTGCCCTGAGCTGGAGGACCATGGCTGAGAGAATGATCAGCTCTCAGTTAATCATGAAAATGTGCAGATCTGCTTCTCCAGTTGGATCCCTATAAATCTATGGGGCATGATGGGATTTATCCAAAATCCTTCAAAGAGCTGCTGATGTCATTGTAAAACCTCTCTTGATGATTTTTGAGCAGTCCTGAGAATCTGGAGAGGTCTTGGCTGACTGGAACCCTGCAAACACTGTCCTGGTTTTCAAGGACTACAGGCCTGTCAGTCTCACTTCAGCACTTTGCAAAGTTATGGAGAAGATTATTCTGGGAGATATTGAAAAAAACATGAAAGACAATGCAGTCTAATGTCAAAAGCTGGCACATCTTCATGAGAGGAAAGTCCTGCTTATCAAACCTGATTTCATTTTATGACAAGGAAACCCACCCAGCCTACCAAGGGAAGCCAGGTGATGTAATCCCTTGGGATTTCAGCACAGCTTTTGATACTGCCTGTCACAGGATCCTTCTGGACAAAATGTCCAGCACTCAGCTGGATAAACACCCCATGTGATGGGTGAGCAGCTGGCTCATGAGCTGGGCACAAAGGGTTACAGTGACTGGGGTGACATCAGACTGGTGACCTGGCACTAGTGGGGTTCCACAGGCTCCATCCTTGGCCCTGTGCTCTTCAACATCCTCATAAATGACTTGGACATTGTACAGGAAGGGACACTGAGCAAGTTTGCTGATGATACAAAACTGGGAGGAGCTGCTGACTCTTTTGAGGGCAGGGAGACAAATGAGAGAACAGGGCAGTCACCCTGAACATGAAGTTCAACACTGGAAAGTGCCGGATTCTGCACCTGGGATGGGGCAGCTCTGGATGTACAGATGGACAGACTGGGGAATGAGATGCTGCAGAAAGGGACCTGGGGGGTCCAGGTTGATGGCCAGTTGAATGTGAGCCAGCAGTGCCCTGGCACCAGGAGGGCCAGCCCTGTCCTGGGGGCATCAGGCACAGCATGGCCAGCTGGGCAAGGGAGGGGATTGTCCCCTCTGCTCTGAGCTGGGGCAGCCTCACCTCCAGTGCTGGGGGCAGTTCTGGGTGCCACAATAAAAGAAGGATATAAAACTATTAGAGAGCATCCAAAAGAGAACCAAAAGGAAGGTAAAGGGCCTTGAGGAGAAGCCTTTTGAGCAGTGGCTAAAGTGGAAACTGAAGGGAAAGCTCATCACAGTTACAAATTCCTCCTGAGGGGAAGAGGAGGGGCAGGCATTGATCTCTTCTTTGTGGTGCCCAGTGACAGCACCTGAGGGAACGGCCTGAAGTTGTGCCAGGGGAGGTTTAGGTTGGATATTAGAAAAAAGGGTGGTTGGGCAACAGGTTCCCCAGGGGAGTGGTCACAGCATCAGAGTCTGTCAGAGATACCTTTGGGCAATTCTCTCAGATACATGATGTGACTCTTGGGCATGTCCTGTGCTGAGCTGAGAGTTGGACTCAATGATCCTTGTGGGTCCCTTCAACCTTAGCTCATTCTGTCATTCTGTGAAATCATAGCTCAGTGGAAGTTTCTGCTGCACCTATGCTGCAGGCAAGCCCCTCAGAAAATGTCCTTGTCCTATCCATCATTTCATTTATTGTTTTTAATTTCCACTCATTAACAAGAGATGAATATGCAGCTCCAGCCAGAAGCATTTTGATATGGGAAGATATTCATGCCAAAAGATACAGTCTTCATAATACAGAGCACAAGTACTAATAGCAAGGAGAGGCTGTTAATAAGGTATGACAAAAATGGTTTATCACTGTAGCATATAACAAAAACTGTAGCCAAACTTACTGAAAGCCTCTTAGACTGCAATCTGCTAGACCTTCCAGTCATTCTCAGGTAACATAAACCTGCTCCACAGGTTGTGTCTTAGGCATGTGCATTTTAAATAAGGTTGTTGGTTTTTTTAATTCTCTGCTGTCTAATCCCAAGATTTTTACTAGAAAGATTTTCCAATATGAACTTGAGTCAATCTGCTAAGCAGAACTATGAAATTTTCAGCAATTTCAGCAATTTCTTGAAACTGCATTTGTGGCATTGCAAAATGACATAGTAAAACTTAAATTTTGCACTTTTAAAAAATTTGTATAAAATCATTAAGATTTTATGAACAAATCTAAGTGAAGAATTTGTCTAAAGTTCATATATTTCAGATTCAGTGGAGTAATTTGCTTGGCTTGACTTTATCCACCCACCTTCCATTCTTCAGTACCTTCATCTATTGAGCAATTTCTCTGTTTTCTCCAAGCAGATGTAGGCTCATTGTGCCATCCTTTGTGCAAACCAAGGACTGCTTTCCCATCTCAGTAGTTCAGAGCAGCCCATCCCAGGGAGGGCTCATTGATCAAACTTGGCAGTGTGCTCAGCCACCTCTGCCCATCAGGAGAGCAGCCTCGTGCTGACCCAGATTGTGAGCAGACCAAGCCTCCCCTTGCCTGCAAGGCACTGATTAGACACACCTGCATCTCTGCACAGCTGCAGGAGACTCCAAGCCAGGAGGGGAAATTATAGTGTGATTAATAAACAGCTTTGTCTGGACTGCCAGACATGAGGAAAAGTATTGCAGATGCAGCAAGGTAGGTTTTTTGAAGGGGAATTGCAATTTTAAATGTTGCAGTTAGACAGGTTTTCCCTGAAGACTTTAGCAACTGTAGGAGTGTATCTCTAGAAGATAAACCATTCCATAGGTGTTCCAGGGTCAGGAGTTTTCTCTGCTTTTGTAGTCACTTCTGTGTAGACTGACCACAGCAGAGCTCTATCTGCCTGACTGCCAGCACCAGTTTATCTTGCTGCTGTCCAATTTCAGTGATTTGTTTACCACTAATGTAATGGTAGTTTGTACTATGGTATGGTTTTATTTGTATATAAATAAATTATCTGCCATATATTTGCATTACTAAGTCTTTGTACTAAACTGAAGTAAAAGAAAAAAGCAAAAACCCAAATGCAGTCTTCATCATGTCAAATTGAGCGGGATAGCTTGTGGGATATGAACATTTTAAAGGACGTAGGTATTAAAGAATAGGTAACGTGCAAAAAAGGGGAGATTTCCTGGACCCTTAGTTTGGGGAGGTTTACTTGAACCTTAGTATTTCATTTGTCTGTCAGGAAAGGCAAGACCTTTGTGCCCAACCAGATTGTCAGCATTCTGTTAGGGGGGACTCCTCAGTGAGCAGTCCTGCTGGATCAGAGGGTGATTTGAGTGACTTAGTCAGGTAAACACACCAACAACATAAGGGAGACCCCTCAGCAAGTCTTTCCACTTTATGCCCCCTCAGTGGGTCTTCCTCTTTATTTGAGTATAACCCACTGCCAGCAGCTGTACAGTGCTTGTGAAAGACTCACACTAATGGAGTAACATCCTTAATTAATGTAAAATTGTGGCAGGTTAAGGTTCGAGGACTGTCAGTGATAGTAGCTGACTGCAAAAATGTATTCAAAGCAATACACAGAAAAGGTCCAATAAAATTATTTAGCATGGGTAGGAATGCCAATAGGTATCCCTATAAGGGCGAAGAGAGGTTAAGCCCATTGACTGATCTCAGCAGTTGCAATGGACTCTTTCCTAGCTTTCCCCCCTGTTTTCAACTTACTTATATTTCTTTATGTTTAGTGGAGCTTGAGTGACTTTATTAATAAATTCTTTGTTTATTGATGGGTGTAAAATTCTCTCACTTCACTTTTAAAGATACAGTCAAAAAGAGTACAGCGTGAATGGCCAGTGAAGGTGGTCATACCTTGGAGGTGGGTAATTTTGGGATAAAGGTGTGTGTTAAGATTACAATTAGGGTATAATCTAAGGAGAGTGATTTTGCCACAGTTGTTGGCTCAACAGCAAGACATCTCCCATCTCCCCTGGTTGGCAGGTGTATGCAGCTTCTCAGCTGCAAAATATCTCCCTGTGAGGATTCCAACAGATTCTGGTCAATGGCTCTCTCCATTCCGCACCACATTCCATTCCATTCCATTCCATTCCATTCCATTCCATTCCATTCCATTCCATCCCATCCCCCTTAGCAGATGCTATGGTTGCAGATTTTGGTGTGGGGAATCATCAGGGAATAGGATTTGAATATGCCAACTTCATTCCATCCTGGGACCAGCAACTGTATTTTATAATTTCTATACCATTATAATTTACATTAGGATATGAATAAAACTTGGTTTCTTCTAATTGTATCCCCAGCCATCTTTCACCAGCTGGGCATCTGAAAAAGAAGTTGTCTTAATTATAGCTGTGATGCCAGACAAGAGGCAAATAAGGTCAAGAAAGAGACATGATAAGTATTGAAATCTAGATGCAAGTTTTTGTTACTAATTTAATTTAGACTACCATTAAACTTTCTTCCAAAATACTGTCTCTTCTCATGCACTGAGAGCTCTGGGCTGCACTCCCAGCTGATGGGCACCTGCTTCAAGCCCTATGGACTGCGAAGAAAACCTGCCCACAGCAATGTGAATATCTCATGGAACAAACATGAAAATTGTGATATCTAGTGCATAGCAGAAAATGTCACTTTGTATCCACACAATTGAACACAGTTCAGCATTGGTTTATTAAAAATACAATTAATGAGATTGCAGTTGTCATTAATCTAATTTAAAATCAATTTTTATTAAATGTATAAATTCTTGACTTTTTCAGAATTAAAAGGAAAGTACATAGCAAGTCATGCTATTACTTTATGCTGTATCAGAAAACACACCTTATAAAAAACACCATGTTTGCTTCTCACTTGATATGTTTATGTTAAAGGATGATGTACAGCTGCAGGTGTAAGTCTGTTCAGATCAGTTAGTCTAAAAGGTCACAGCTGCAGTTGATCGTGTTGAGTTTCTTACACTGTATGTCTTCCAATGTTTGATAATTTCAAAATAACAATTTATTTAAACATTTCTTTATACCAAATTATATATCATGTAATGACTAGCACAGTGAATTGCTGTACATGCAGTTTACCATGCACACTAAGCATAAGATAGAAGGCAAGGACACAGGTAGTTCAAGTGGTTGCTAATGGCCACATGAGTGGGTGTATGTGAAACGCACAGAGCCGAGTCCCAGCAAAGCAGGCTGTGAGCACATCCTGGCCACACCATCCAAACACTGCCTTTACAGCAGCCTGCCCACCTCACCTGCAAGGTTAACAGAAGAATTGCCTCTGCCCCCAGGAACAAAGCCTTTATTAACTGGCTTTCTAATACTGATGATTTTTTTTTTTGTTACTAAAATACAAGGTGGGAAAATAAAAAGACTTGTCTGTGTTTGTGCTCTTGTCTGGAGTGCAGCATGGCTTAAAGAACAGTGGTTAATCACAAACTCAACCTGAACTTAGAAAAAGATAATTTTCCCATTTATAAATCTCTTCTCTGCTATGGACCAGTGCAGCACATGCCTGCTTGCTTGCTTCCTTGCTTTCTCCCTCTCTTTTCCTGCTAATTTTATCTTCCATTCTTTCCTCTACTCTATAAGCTTTATTAGTAATTCTGCCATAATTCTACAAAAATGCTGCATTATACAGAGGGATTAGACACTAAAATTATGTCACAATTTTTTATAAAACTGCTTGATAAACCAGTAATTTATCAAGCAGTATTTCCCTTTCACACCTAATCTTATAAAGCTCTTATAAAAGCCTTATTTCTGTCTCCCAAAACATGAAATTAAGATGGGTACAGGCCAAGACTGGTGATTGCTGAGACATTTCCCATAGGCCTTGCTTAGTGTGCCTAACTGCCCCAAGACCATTCAACAGCCAAGACCATTCAAGGAGGTCTGAAACCTACACAAGAGGCCTCCTGCTCTTGTCCTTTATCAGTCAGGGATCTTGGTTCATTCATAGCACAGAGGGACAGACAGGTAAATAGCTTGTATGAATAAATAAGGAGTTTCTGAGGAGCTTAATCGGAACTTTCCCCCGAGCCAATCATTGTTTTTTGTTTTTAAAGAGTTCAGGCCACTCCTAATTGTCCATGGTTGCCCTAGAAGCAGAAAGGATTCCTCCCTAATAAAGGGGACTTACTTAATAAGGTAACTTTTGTCTTTTCCTCAGAAGTTCTCACTTCCCCTTCAGAGACACTGGAAAATCTGCAGTATGGAGCTGCCTTCTGTCCTTCAGTGGAGAAGGTAGTGCCAGGAGCACAAGCAGCTAGCAGCCCCAGAAAGATCACTGGTAGAGAGGATCAGAAATTTCCACAGAGATATAGCTTGTGTGGTGGCTTAAATGAGCCTGTGTGCTCTATGATCTCCCTGTCATCACATATATTCAAGACATGCTCCTGCCCTGTAGTCCTTAGGAATCTAAATGTCCTCCTGCAGCCATGTATGCTACTAGAAAATCAAAGAAGCTCCTACATGGCTCTGAACTATACCAGACAACACAGGGATTGTGGGAGCTTCACTATTTTCAGATAGTTTTATATTTCTGCACTAATAAGCACTGTCTGACACATACTCTTGTTTTCTCCTGACACACATAGCTTCATGTCATTGGGGACTGACCTGCATAAACAGACATGAGGCAGGTTTGTGGCTCCAGCCTGAGGCTGTCCCCCTGGAGGGTTGGAACGTCCTGAGAAGGAGGCTGTGTTTCTAGTCCTCAGAGCAATGCTCTAATCTTGAATCACTGAATATTAAGGTCAAGGGCATGATATGCTCCACTATAATTCCATTAAGTGGCAGTTGATAAGTTACAAAAAGAAGTTAGCATGTATTTTAATTTTTATACTTTATATAGCTAATACCATATTTGTGTTGTCTGTCCAACTACTCAGAACTTAGTAAACTTTCACGTCTCTAGAGAAAACTTTCCAATTAGACATTCTGTTTACTATTTCTTTTCCATTCTTCTATGGAATCTAGTTCTCACCTTCCCATTCCCTTTTCCTAGAGCCACCCACATACACATGAACACACATATCTCATGTACCACCAAATCACACATATCACACTTGTTAAACAGCTCAGCTCACCTGGTTCATACCTACTCTGAACTCAGAAATTATCTGTTCCCTTCAATCTCCTTATATTTTTGACAAATACTGTCCTCACTCAGGCATGTGTAGTTTTGGTCAAAAAATCTCCCTTGACACCTACCTGAATTCTGAATCCCCAGCAGCATCAAGACCTCCTAGATCAGAAAGACGTTCTGAGTCCTGTCATTATCCATATAGCTCTAGGTCTCCTTTGCAGACAGTGCTCTCAGAAGAGCTGCAAGTCTTAGCAAGCCCAGCTGGGAGTCACAAAAGGACATGATTTCCTGAAGTGGAACTGTGCTGGG